CCTAACACTAACCCTAATACTAATTGACGGTATTTTTTTTAAAAAAAACAAATACATATCGAAATCATATAAACAACGACGATCATTTCCATTTTGGGCGGGGTACATAGATGTATCCCATGAACATGCACTATCCTATATCTGGTTACTTTATTCCAACTTTTTGACATGAAGTAACTTTCAAAATCATAAAAAAAAACCCTTAATACTATCACTCTCTTCACTATAGTAATATGGTTTTGCCATATCTAACTCTTCTATATTAACAATAATACAGCTTCCAAATAAAAAATTGTGTGTTCTATAGTTTATATATATATATTTTTTTATTAGCCCAGGTTCTATCTGTTACAGGGTAAAGCGATACTAACAGTTTAGCACTAAAATCTAATTAGATACGGATCTAACAAATACTCGCTTATTTATTTAATTGAAAATGATCTTGGCGACAAAATATGAATTATACTCTTTATTTAAAATGTGCAAAAGCTCCCTCTTCTAAGATCTTTAAGATCTCTTATTTATACCCTACATACTATATAATTACGTCATTAATAATTACATAATTACGTAATTTATTTATTTAACTCTATTATAGTTCCTATGTGGGTAGTTACTTTAGCTTTGATCGTCGCTTTTACTTCGGGTTACCATCACTCATATGACAAAGAACGTTGTTACTTTAAAGAGCATGTTAAAATGAACCTGACAAATGTACCATATAGCGTGGACCATAGTACCCCATATCAAAGTACCCTCTATAAAAATTTTTCGCAGTTGAATACAAGATACCCGGGTACTTTACAGAGTTGAAATACCCGGGTATTAACTATGTAGCATATATCATTTCTATGTAAAATATACCTTTTATGTAATACCCGGGTACTAACTTAGATTTTAGCTTTGGAATGTATTACATCCGGGGTACTATAGTCCGTACTGTACGGTAATTTTATTTGCGTGGGTTTGCTGGTTCAGAAGTTATTGTGACTTGAATTTTATTATATATTTTACTATCACCGTCGTTGATCTATTATTACGTATTAAAATTTATATACTACGTATATTATTAGAATTTACTATATGTTTGTAATTAGACCGATACGTGCATAATCTAAGGATCGAATTGGGACCTAAAGGGGAATTGAAAGGGGAGCATCTAGAAAAGTAATTAATTGAGATAGTTTCCTTACATATTATCAAGAAATGATTTGGATCTTTACAAGCGTAACAAAAATTTTGGTTCACCCATGATATAAAACTAGAGATTTAAGTCAGTGTACATACACCGTATAATGATAAAATATAATATATAGCATGAATTGACAATTATAAGATTAAAGATTCCATAATACGAAACTAGGAATTTTTCCTCTTCTATTAATCTCAGATTCTCTTGAAGTTATCATCGATCGATCGACCTACACGTAACATTTTCAAAGATCTTTTATTTGATCAAAATGAATTTACGATATATGGTCTCAGTTGGATTTTTAAGTACACAAGTGTCAGGCAACACCTCCTCGTTCATCCACTTTTTATCTTGACAATTTATTAAATATGTTCATGTTGTATTGTTATTATGCTGCATATTTTACATTTGTTACGTAATTTACAATTGAATTTTTTCCTTTAAATATTGCCAACTTCATTATAACAATTAGCAAGAAATTTCAAAAGATTTGCCTGTTATTCACACTTCTCTTTACTCACAAGAATAATTATACATAAGAAAACTAATAAAAAGATTGCATATAAAAAAAGAAAGCTAACCAGACATTGTAAGAAAAAAAAAAAATGAACCATTTCTTTACTATCGCGCTTTTCGTTATTGCTTCTTTGGTTATTTTTGTCGCTGCTGGTGGTATGTATAAGTTCTGATCTATTAAGAATTTTGGATTATGATAACTGAGAAAAATGTCACATTAACGATAATTTATTTTAATTACATATAGAATATGTATTCACAGTCTACGTTTTTCTTTCTCGCAAAACATAAATTTTAACATTAATTACGAATATCATTCTAAAAACCAGATGTTATGGTCAATACACCAACTGGAAACCTTTTCACGAAAGCTATTGCTAAAATTACTTGGACAATTTCTGGACCTGCGCCCGCGATAGCGGCCATTTTAAGTGTACGTAATAAACAAACAAATGAAGATCTCGTGATAGACAACCAACTAGATCTTAACGCATTAAGTAAACAATGGGAAGTGAACGTTCCTCCAGGAGAGTATTTTCTTGTTATCAATGATGGTAGTGGTGAAAAATTTTCTGGTACATTTAAAGTGACTGCTGGAGTTCCATTGCCTGGCGCCCCTTCAAGTCCGAATGACGGGACACCTGCAGGAACATCAGAACCTGCACCCGCATCACCCCCTGCGAATAAACAACCTTCTCCAAGTGGTGGTAATCCTAGTACTAGTACCAATACTTCTTCACAACCTGCGAAGCCTATAGGTTCAACTAACACGTGCGTAAAAAAAAATTTTTTTAAGGCATCGTTTTAAAGCATTGTTTACAAATGTACACAATATCTAATTTATATTAATAATGACATAGTACTAAAAAAGCAAATTCGGCCTCTACGACTTCTACAAGTTGCTTCGGTTTAGTTGGCGTTGGTTTAATTTGTCTAAATATTTTCCTTAATCTGTGATTTAAAACGTAACAAGTGTTTTATAAAATATAATAATAATACGTAATATAGTTTTTAATCGAGTATAAAATTTTAAACCTATGAAAGGTTCTTTTCCCAAGAAATATCGATACTGATACGGATTAGCAATTTTTAATGTTGAAGCTTTCAAAAAAAAAAGTTATTTTTTAATAAATATATATATAGTATATAAAGATAACGATAAATACGTAAAAATCATAGGTATACTTTTTTAGAAATACAGTGATCATGATATTTGTGTAACTATTAGTATTATCCATGAAATTAATGATGCATTAACGTTAATGTAAGATTTAAATTCCCATATAATGTATATAACGTGTTTTTTAAAATTTAAAGATTTCTAATTATACATATGTAAATGATTGATTTATTGTGTGATATCCTTAAGATTAGTATCAATTTCTGTATTTCCGGAAAACGTCAAAACTTGCCGTGACTCTCTCGGATTTTCTTCTTTTGATTTCGTTCTTAATGCTTCTTGAGCTAATCGCATTGTTTCATTCATACTTTCCCTTTCACTAGGCACTCTTAAAATGTCATCTTCAGATGGTCCATAATTTCTTGATCCATCATTTCGTCCACCTTCATCACTTGCAATTCTCAATATATTATTATCTTCACCTTGTTCATTATATTGTGAATTATTTCTTGGACTCGGATATATTGGACCCGGGTATGTTGGACCCGGATATGTTGGACCCGGATATGTTGGACCCGGGTATGTTGGACCCGGATATGTTGGACCCGGATATGTTGGACCCGGATGAATTGGTGGCTGTCCGAGACCACTACCATGAATTAAGTTGGATTTTTGTCGTTCTGCCCTTATCTTCCTTCGTGGGTCTCCATGACCCGTAGGATTATCATTTTCTGGAAGCCCACTTGCCTCTATTTTTGCGCTGCTCATTCCTTTTTGGGTAAATAATTTGTATATAAAGTTATATATTTATCGATATATTACGAAGGTTACATATTAAACTTACCATATCGAATATCATGCCGTCGCTGACGTAGTATGTATCTAACAGTAATCACTGATATGATAAAAATAATAAACGCCGCTAATGAAACTGCGCAAATAATTCCAACTCTAGAAGTTTCATCCTGAGACTTTGGTTGAGCAGGTGATGCTGGAGAAGATGTAGGACGTGGTGTTCCAGTTGGTCCAACTGTTAGAGTTGAATATAATGTTATTACTGGTCTAGAGTTCTGTGCATTAACTAAATATATATTTAGTTAATATAGGTTAGTTGATTATAATTATGCAATCGCGTAATGTCGGAGTACTGCGGTAGATAAAAAAAACCTACTCGGTATAGTTATTATTACTATTAAAAAAATCACAAAAAGAAATTTTAAAGTACAAAATCGTATCATTATATTGTTATCGTTATATTTTCTTTTTAAATATGATGCAAAAAGTTTAACGTTAATCAATCCAACAGTTACAAAATTACTATAAATGACAGGATTATAAGGATAAGAAATTTAAAAAAATTTATATTGACTTAAATAATTAAAAAAAGAAAAAATTGAATCATTAAGGATAAAAAAGATTCTTTATCAAGAATAAAACTGAAATATTACAGTAAGTTGAGTTTTATCCAAATTTTAAGTTTTTGTATTACAAACAGATAAAAAATTCTAAACCACATCAAATTATGTAATACTACGTCATTTTAAATTAGACTAAATTTAGTTATCAAAATCCCATGATAAAAATATTTTTTGAAAGTTATTTACTTATAAAGTAGTAATTCGTTTGCTATTAATAAATTACCATTCTTATTATAACCGCTGGAGTTATTTCTTTATTCATTCCGTGGCGTTATCATTATTTTGGGCAATTAATAAAATACAATAAAATATACTTAATATATCTGAAACAGTAAAAATTCATAAAACAATATCGATATACCATGAAGCCTTTTTTTTATTCTGAAATACTTATTCTTAACGTTAACGTTAAAGAAGATGTAAATTTTCTTTATATATATATATAATTAATATATATATTTAAAAGTTTTACGCATTAAATTTAAGTGGCGCCATGTGAAGATGTTCTGATTTTCTTTTGGCGTACATACATGCGTACGAAAGTATTTCATCGTTACGTAAAAAATAATGCAAAATCATATCACAAATTACAATAATGACGATAGCATGAAAATTATATATATTTATTGTCGCGGCTAAAGCTGAAAATTAGGTTCTCCAAAATTTACTTATACGTACTTTTTTATTATAAAAACTACAGTAATCACGTATAAATCCTAATTTAACTATTAAAAAAGGCAATTCAACAATTTTATACGTACCAAAATATTTAAAATTTTTACTCTTGCCGTTTTTAAGAATTTTCAATATATATATATAGGGTGAATTATTAAAAATTTAAAAAAAATTTGATATAGAACTAATTTAAAAATATTCTAATCGTATTTTTTTTTAAATATATATATTTTTCTAAGGATTAATATATTTGTAGCCATGGGCTACGTGTAGCCATACTAAGATTAAATATAAAATAACTATTAAACCAATTTTTTTTATAAATATAAAACCTTATAGTTAGTTAAGGTTAGAGTTAGAATTAGGAAGGTTAGGGTTAGGGTTAAAGAAGTGCTTGGCTTATAGTAAAATTAGCAAGAAGTTTTTTTTATTTGAATACAAAAGATGGTTTCATAACTTAAATTAATCTTGTAGTAATATTTTAGAATATACAATATTTAAAATAATATAGTATCTAAATCTTTTAGAAAAAGAGTTTTGATTGAACAAAATAAAGTATATTATAAAAAAGCTATATAAAACTGTTTATATATAAAAACTAAAATTCTAAATCAAGCCCAATATGTTTTAATAATTGGTTCTGTAATTAATTTATAGTAAACAAATACAATACAAATTAGAAATTATCTTTTTTAAATTTAAATAGTAATTTAGTTGTAATTAATATTAAAGTAATATAAGAAATAAAACTAATTTTATAATATAATCTTTACTAAATATATACATGTTAATAATATAATCTGAAAAACAGACTACAATTAAGCAAAACCTATTACAAAGATCTTAAAAAGATACAAAATTATAAAAAAGTATTATAAGATATCTGATTTTAAGTTTAAGTTTAGAAAATAGCATTTCAGATTTTTTTTTAGCATATCCTGTTACTGTTTTATTTTATTTTTTTCGATATTAAGGTGATCTTGGCCATTTTTTTTTATTTAGTTATTAGTTAACTTTACTATATGCTAAACTCCTATTAGGACCTATATAGTATACTTATTTGAAAAATATATACTAGTCACATATACAACTTTTAATTGTCTATTTAAGTAGTTCACTTATTACTAAGTTTTACACTAAATATTATATCTATAATCCAACTAGGTAATTATCTATTTAAACTCTCTGCACCTCTAGAGTTAACTTTTATAATTGAGCAAAAATCTAGTTTGGACCTTTTATTTTCAGACATCTGGCTTAAGATTTTAAAACAGACTTTAATTATTTTAAAAAGCCTTTTATTTTTGAGATAAATTTGCTAGAGCTTTCTGTATTCACAATCTGGCTAATCTAAACTTTGATAACTTATGCTAAGTCTGAGAACAAGTATTTGCGAGCCGAGACTATTACCATTACCTACAACTACTCTTGTAGAGTTTATCTAGACCCCAGTACACACTTTACAGACTATTACTAATTTTAATTTCAACAATCTCAAACTACCAATTCAGATAGGCCAGAAGGGCTGTGATCTGCTTCTGGTTCTCACAATTGAGTATTTTTTCTCCAGTACTTCTCTGGCAATCTGGTTAGTAGAATACCTTGTCAAATACTTTGGTTCTGTTCAGTTTTGCCAGTTCTCTTAATGATGATCCTTTACATAGTACTGTCAAATATTTGTACTACTTTTCTATTTGGGTTTTGCCAAGCGGACACTCATCTTTTTTTTTGGTTTCTTGAGTTAATATAATCTAGAAGCATATTTGTATAATTTATACATTATACAAATACTTCATGATCTCCCAATCTTGTTAGTATTACCAAGGTTATAGAGATCCTGTTCTAACTAATCATTATTAAAAAACAGTAGCTATTATACAGATAGAATTTTTGAAATTTATTACCAGTAGGTTTCAAACCCTCTATCTAGCCAAAATATCATTTGAGATATGACAACTTAACTACTTTACTAGTCACTACACCCTTGTTACTATTTTATTAAAATATAAACTAAGCAAAAATTATAGGAATTTTTAATTATAGCTATTAACTATCTAACTATAACAAGTGATTTACTTAACTTTAATAATCTAGATATAATATTATCTATTGACTCTTTGCTTTTTTTTTTAAATCTCTAACTTTCTAAAGATATGAATCTTTTGATATTAGCTAGTATCACATATCATATCAGTATCATTTTTTTTATAATAATAAATTATATATACAAATTTAAAGAGCAAAGAAAAAGAAATAATATCTTAATATCTAAATTTAATCTATCTAAACAAATAAAACAAAAAAAAACAAAAACAAAACAAAAACAAAATAAAAGAAAAGAAAATAAAAATAGCATTATTAAGTCTATACAAAATTATAAAAAATTATATAGTACTACTAAATAATCTAGTCAAGTTTTATACTAGTTATTTAAATCTATATCTAAGCTATTAAAATATAATTAAAATTATTTGTTTTTGAGTAGAGATCCAAGTTTGAAATTTCTATTTCATTCAGTTTTATTCTTATTAAAATTTCTATAATATTATTTAAATATAGTTCTTTCTGTTTAAAATCTATATACTTAACTGAGTCAGAATTTCTGTTATAATCTCTAGTCAGAAAATATTATCTATATAGGCTAATACTAAGTATCTGATTTAAAGTTTATTGAAAGATCTATTCTTAAAACTAGTGATTTAAGATGTTTATATAGTATATTCAGAAAATTGTAAGTGAATATATGATATAAGTAAATAATAATATATTTTCTAAAGAAGTGAAGTAATAGTTTTATTTAGGGTTCAGAATGGGCCGGGCTAAACCCAGAAATGTATGGGTTGGGTCAGATTAGGTTAGGCCCAAGCTTAAAATTTCAAGCTAGTAATTAATTGGGCCAGGTACAGGTTGGGTCTAAAATGCTGAGCCGGGTTTGAACTGGGCTTAAAAATAATGAGTCAGGCTTGAGCCGGGCTTATAAAATACTGGGCTAGATTTAGGCTAGGTTTGGGCCAAGCCTGGGTTTTATAAATATCTCTGAAAAAGCCCGATAATATTAATTGGGTAAAATTGCCATCTAAAAAAGATTCGAACATTATATTACAAATACATCGAGTACTAAAAATTTATATACATTTTTAACTTTTCTACTATCCCGAACTTTTGATCTCAAAGCTTCTTGTTCGCTTCCTTCTCCTTGTTCTGGACTCTCCATTTGGCATAATTGTGTACAATAAAAAAGAGCGCAAACTATAACTTAACAAAAAATACAAACAAACAAATTTAGACTAAGTAATAATGATAAATAATAAATTAATCATTTTATCTATTTTAAATAACTCAATAAGTGTAATATTTATTATAGCCAAAAAGTATTATAATTCCGATTTTTCTAAGTATTTGGAATATTTCACTGCCTTTTAAAATGATTATAATCTTCTAATTTATGGTTGCATCCTGGATTCAAATAAATAATCAGAGTTATAATCTTACGGAAAAGCATTAATTTTCTTGATTAGTTTTTATAATTTTTTTTTTTTTTTCATTTATTGTTGATGAAAATTTAGTTACAGCAATCAAAACATATACTTTTAGAATAGTGTGTTTATTGGATTTATGCTTTTAATGACCACTTTTCATTTTAAAGAATCGAAGAAAAAAATAACTAAGTCAATTATGTTAATATTTTAATAAATATTATTATTATGATCTAATCATGATGAATTGACAATATCACATGATTTTTGAAACTTTTTTGGATGGTGATTTTACCCTGTATTATATATATATATATATAATATAAATAATGCAATTACTAATTTTTTGCAAATTCTATTGGTTACTAATACTAATTTGTTAAATGTTTAAGTAAATTTCGATTATTAATTGTATACTGTGTATACTGCATACTGCCAAATTTAAACACTCTTAAATTAAGAACACATAGTGTTTGGGGTGATAATTACCCGGTTTTATAAATAAATATATCATATTACTTGGGCAAAATAAACCACCCAATGTTGAAGTATAATCAACGATCATGTCTTAGTACCCGATCGATGCAGGCAATTGTGATCTAACTAAAACAGAGTGAACCATATATAATCACCCCAAAAATATACATGTGACCAATTCAGAAATGAAATACTTATAACACCAAAGTTTCAGAATAGCAGGTGTGAAATTTCAAGTTAAGAGTTTTGTATTAGAGAAAGAAAAAAAAAAAATTGTTAGTAATATAGTGAAATTCAAAAATGAATAAACAAAAGAGCAACTTATAAAAATCTAACAAGAGTTGCTAATAAGAAAAATGGTAGGAAAAAGATATGTAAGAGGCCTAAAATACAATAGATTGTTAGTAGAAAAAAAAAATTACATAAAAAGCAGTAACAAAATAATAAAAACTTATCTTTCATAGCCTCCATAATTACATAGGATGACCCAGATTCCTGCGCTAAAAATGGAGTTGTTAATATTATTAACATAAAAAAATAATAAGTAAAAATATACTTGCCAAAATTATATTCCACGTTTTGAGAAGAAAGCGCCTACTTCAATATATTAAACAATCTCCACTTAATATAAACCTTTAAATGCATACTACTATTTGCTTCTAGTCTTATATATTTTTTGTGCTTTACATGTATCCTTTTAAACGTGTCTGTAAAAAAATTTATTTGATTGTTTCTATTTTATCTTTATATTTTCTGTAAAAATTCTATGAAGCTGATTTGTAGTCCAGATAATTTCTGTTATTGAAGATATAAATTCCATAAATATGCAATACTTATGGATAAAACATGAAATAGAATTGATTGTTTTTATAAGAACAATAAAGATTTTTTTTTTACTTTGTTCGGTTTGTGGCTCCTAAATATAGAAATAAGAAAGATTGATATATTAAAAGTTTGTATCATTTTAACATCAATGTAATTAGATATCTATAAAATTTAACACATTATTAAATAATAAACAAACACCTTCATTAAATGATATATTAAATACCATATATTAATAGGTTTTATAGTCCCATCATTTGATGATATTAATTTAAAATTAAAATATATATTCTATGTAAAAAAAATAATATGCTTGTAATCTACCAACTATTTCATTTAAACAACTACTACTATTTATAGCTAAAAGAACAGTTTCAGAGATTAGTAAAAGCAAGGGTTCTGAAAATATTCTGACTATTAAGAAACGTAAAATAGTCGAGTCATAGGTTTTCGCCGAAGAACATTTTAAACATGATCCTAAAGACAGTAAGAATTTATA